TTAACCTAACTTTGAAGTTATATTTCAGACATGGAAATTGTGGAACGAAGGAAATGTTATGAGCTTAGTTGACGATTCCTTACTTGAATCATGCAACGAAGAAGATGCATTAAAATGTATTAATATTGCACTCTTATGTGTACAAGAAGATGCCAATATTCGTCCAAGCATGCCAGACGTAATTATGATGCTTGGTAGTGAAAGCATTTCCATTCTAAAACCTAATAAACCTGCTTTTACAGTAAGAACACGTGCTTATAGCACAACTTTGTCCTCAAGCGAGTCATACATCAACTCCTGTAATGAGTTGACAGTTACCGTAGAAGATGGCCGGTAAGTTGATTTTAAAAGTTGATTGCATTTGTCCTACCTACTTGAGGGAGGACGCATGTGCTCTACACGAGCCCAACATATTATGTATTTAATTTTAATTGAGATGAGATGTTGATGGTAAACATGGTGACATATACTAAATCAAAATAGATTAACGTAATCGTAAGAGCTTTTTATACTCTATACAACATAGTATGCTATGGCTTCTTTTTTTTATTATCTTTTTTTTTTTTTACAGTATGTGCTAAACGCCTTAAAGAAACAGCCAATTTAGAGCTCATTTACTGCATCTTTCTTAACTTTCTCCTTGATGCATGAAAGAAACGAACCGTAAATTTCTGCTTTGTATATTTGATGAATGGAAAAATGTATGTTATCAAGTGTACAATCCCAAACTTATATACAGAAGGAATGTTTTAGGGCAACATCTTATATTGTCACGTGGCAATATCCTATTTGCTAGGATAAAGTTGCACATAAAAGAAATACAAGAATGGAGCAAATAATTAAATACAAAGGGTATGGGGAAAATATCTAAAATATAGTGTAGCATGTGATGTACACTATTTTCTGGACAGGGCAGACCCATAAGTGGGCCGGGTGACCAGGCCTAATTGTGTAGACCACAATTAGGCCCAAATTATCAAACCCACTTAGGCCCAAATTATCAAACCCACTTAGGCCCAAATTATCAAACCCGTCCAAATACCAAACACAATCCTCACAGTCTCAAATCAAATTGTCTGCCTCAAACCCTTCTGCCTCAAACCCTTCGACTCCAACACCCCCTTCAAGCTGGAGGGGGTAGATAACACACCCAGTTTGCCCAAATGATCACGATGAGGAGGTCCGGCGAGTGGTTTGGTGAAGAGATCTGCCAACTTGGCAGAAGATCGAACAAAGGTTAATGAAATCAGCCCATCTAGGTATTGGTCGCGTACAAAATGACAATCGATTTCAACGTGCTTCGTCCGTTTGTGAAAAACAGGGTTTTTTGCTATGTGAATTGCTGCTTGGCTATCGGAGTGAAGAGGGACTGGAAGAGAGATAGGAATTGACAAATCCTCAAAAAGACGGACCAACCATGTGAGCTCTGCAACTACTCGCCGCATAGATCTGTATTCTGTTTCGGCGGAACTAAGCGAGATGGAAGTTTGCTTCTTGGACTTCCAAGAGATCGGAGAGGTACCAAGAGAAATATAAAAGCCACTGACCGACTTCCTCGAATCCGGGCAAGTGGCCCAATCGGAGTCACAAAAAGCTAGGAGCTTGAAGGAGGAGGAAGCAAACATAAAAAGCCCTAGCCCAGGATCTTTGAGCAGATAGCGAAGAACACGGAGTGCTGCATCTAGGTGTGGTTGTCAAGGGTTCTGCATGTACTGACTGAGGTGTTGGACAGTGAAGGATAAGTCTGGGCGGGTGTGAGTGAGGTAGTTAAGTTTTCCAAGGAGATGACGATACAAGATGGGATCTTTCACTGGTTCCCCTATGTGAGTAGACAAACGAGTAGACGAATCGAGTGGAGAAGAAACATGGGACAAGTGCAGAGAGTCAAATTCTCGTAGAAGGTCTAAAGTGAATTTGCGCTGAGAAAGGAGAAGTCCATCTGTTTCTCGGACAACTTCCATGCCTAGAAAAAAATGTAAGTCCCCGAGATCTTTAATTTTGAACTCTTGATTGAGAAATTCTTTCAAAGCATGTAGTTCTGTAGTGTCATTTCCTGTCAAGAGTATATCATCCACGTAGATAGCCACTATAGAAATGGAAGAATCTGACCTTTTAAAGAACAAAGAATAGTCGTTGAATGAGTGAGTGAATCCCTTAAAATTCAAAGCAGTTGTAAGTTTAGCATACCACTGACGAGATGCTTGTCGTAGCCCATAAATTGATTTGTTTAGCTTGCATGCATGAGTAGGTGAAGTAGGTATAACTCCGGGTGGGAATTTCATGTACACTTCTTCATTTAGATCTCCATGTAGGAAAGCGTTATTCACATCTAGCTGGTATAGACCCCATCCTTTCTTTACGGCAGTGGCTAGTATGCATCTGATTGTGGTCATCTTCACCACCGGTGAAAAAGTTTCATTGAAGTCTATTCCCTCTTTTTGTATGTCTCCTCTAATGACCAATCTTGCCTTTAGTCTTTCCACACTCCCATCTGAATGGTGTTTAACCTTATAGACCCATTTGCATGGTAAAGCTTTCCTCCCGGGTGGTAATTCAACCACTTCCCAAGTCATATTAAGTTCAAGTGCCTCAATCTCTTTATTCATTGCTTCTTGCCACCCTGGGTGATGTGTTGCCTGTAAATAGTCAGTAGGTTCTTGTATATTGGACAATGTGTTTAGCATATGTTGATTGGTAGAAGATAGTCCACTGAAAGATATATAAGTAGGTTTAACTGGTGTGAGAAAGCAAGAGTTGCTAACATCTGTGAGTTGGAGTGCATTGCAGATAAAATCTTTGAGATAAGATGCAGTTGTGTGTGGTCGGGTAGACTTCATAATAAGAACATCCATCGTAGAATCAGAATCCAAAGAAGGAAAAACTGGTGCAGATGTATGTGGTTGATTAGATGTAACTGGAGAATCTGGAGAGAAACTAGAAGGAGAGATAGAGGGAACAGGTGAACTAGGATGGCTTGAATAAATGGGGGAAGAACAACAGTCATTTGATGATGCAGTAGCCTCTTTGGAGGCTTTAGTGTGGGGTCTTATAGGAAAAGATAAAGGTTCAGGAGTCTGATGATTTGCAGAAAGTGGAGTAGTGGGTAAAGAAATCTGAGAAGAAGAATTAGACTTAATAGAAGCAAATGGAAAGAATTCTTCATGAAATACAACATCTCTAGAAATAAAAGGCTTCAAATTCTTAAGGTTCAACACTTTGTAACCCTTCTTTCCATGAGGATAACCTAAGAACACACAAGGTATAGCTCTAGGTTCAAAGTTAGTTCTTTGATTTGAGACAGTAGAAGCAAAACATAAACACCCAAAGCATCTAAGGTTAGAGTAATTTGGCTTGCTTGAAAAAAGAACTTCATAAGGAGTCTTAAGCTTTAACACACTTGAAGGAAATCTGTTGATCAAATAGGTTGCTGTAAGAAGGCAGTCACCCCAGTATGATGTAGGTAGGTGTGATTGGTATAAAAAGGCTTNTCTGTTGATCAAATAGGTTGCTGTAAGAAGGCAGTCACCCCAGTACGATATAAGCAGGTGTGATTGGTATAACAAGGCTTTGGATGTCTCTAAAAGATGCCTGTGCTTTCTCTCCACAACTCCATTTTGTTGTGGTATGGACACACAAGTGGTTTGATGAATAATACCTAGTGACTCAAAAAATTCTGATTGAATTTTACCACTTCCCAATTCAAAAGCATTATCCGACCTTATGATTTTCACCTTGCTGTTAAACTGTCTTTCTACCATAGCTATAAAACCTCTTAAAATAGTGAATGCATTGGATTTGTTGGTTAGTAGGTAGGTCCATGTGCCTCTACTGAAGTCATCAACAATTGTAAGGAAGTATTTAAAACCATCATATGTAGCACTATTGTATGGTCCCCAGGTATCCACATGAATTAATTCAAACACTTTCTTAGTAGAAATAGAACTAGAGGGAAAAGGAAGTTTGGACTATCTTGCCATAGGACAAATAATATATGGACTAGAGAATTTGGAACACTTGGATATAGAAACTGATGAAACATTCTTCATATTGCTAAGGGGCATATGGCCTAATCTGTAGTGCCATAGCTTCTCTTTTACAGTTGAATCAAAAAAACTAAAACATGAATGCAAACTAAGATTGGAAACAGAATTCCTTCTTGGAATAAAAACACTTCTAAATTTGAGTGGACTCTTAGACACTGGTGTTGTATGTCTGGATTTGAGAATGTAGAGGCCCCCTTCCTCTTTACCAATCTCCTGTGGGCTCTTCACTGAAGGGCCCTGTAGAAGAAAATATGAAAAAGGTGTGAATAAAACATATTTCTTGAGTTGTCTGCACAACTTGTGCACAGACAACAGATTATATTTGAAGGATGGAATGTAAAGAACATTTCGAAGAATCAGATTAGGAAAAAGAGAAATAGTTCCTGAATGAGTGATCTGAATTCTGTAAGAGTTTGGGAGTTTTACCATGAGAGGTTTAGCCAAAGTTTTTAAATTTGTAAAAAAATCTTTGTTGAAAGACATATGTTCTGTTGCTCCACTATCCAATATCCAAGACTCATCATTGATTTGAATTAAACAGGCTAAATCTTCACATAAATTGGTCATACCAGCATAGCTCACATTTGCTACAACATCAGGGGTCTCTGCACTGGAATGTCCCACTTTCACTTACTGAAGAAGCTGCAGCAGCTCAGCCACATTTTCCTTGGTGAGATTCTGAACTCCTGATGCACTTCCCTGTTCATTTTCTTCATTTGAGAAGGAAGCTTTATATGCGTGGGCACCTCCTTAAAATCTTTTTTCCCTTGTGAACTTGAAATCAGTTGGAAACCCATGAATTCTGTAGCATTTCTGGATGGTATGTCCAGGTTTTTTGCAATAGGAACAAATTCCTAAATATTTCTTAGATTCAAAACTTCTTTTCTGCATCTTGTTCTCATTAAATTTTCTGAAATTTCCTTGTTGGTTTGTAGCAATGAATGAGGCAGATTCCCCTTAGTATGCAGGGGTAGCATGTATCTCCCTTTGTTTTTCATCTTGAATCACAAGAGAGTATGTCTGTCCAATGGAAGGTAAAGGTGATGACAATAGAATGTTACTCCTTACCCCAATAAATATATCATTTAGTCCCATTAGGAACTGCAATAGTCTCTCATCTTGGTGTGCTTTCAAGCTCTTGACTTTTGCACTACACTCACACTCACAAACGCAAGCAGAAAATGTATTGAGTGCATCTAGTTCATCCCATAGGCTTTTGATTTTGGTGAAGTAAGTTGATACACTTGAATTACCTTGCACTACTGAACTTAATTCCTTTTGTAATTGGAACAGCTTTGCTCCATTTGCCTGTCCAAATCTGTCTTCCAGGTCACTCCACAAATCCTTTGCACTCTGTGAATAGAGCACACTTTCAGCTATCTCTTTGGACAAGGAGTTGAGAAGCCATGAAAGTACCATATCATTACATCTACCCCATGTCTGCTGGACTGCAGAATCAGTCTTAGAGATAATAAGAGTACCATCAATAAATCCCAGCTTGTTCTTTGTAGACAAGGCAATGATAACTGCCCTTCTCCAACCTCCATATCCTTTGCCATCAAAAGCTGAGGATACAAGGTTCATCCCTGGATAGTCAGAAGGATGAAGGTAATAAGGGTGAGTGGAGTCAATTACTCCTGAAGCAATGGTAACTGCAGGTGCAGGAACATTAGTGGTGACAGCAGAAACAGAAGCTAGAGTATCAGATGACTCTGGTGAAGTACCCATATCAGATAAGATTAAGATGAAAGAAGAAGAAAAAAGAGCTGATTTGTGAATGAGAAAGCAGAAAAAAATAGCAGAATTAAACCTGCTCTGATACCATGAAAGAAACGAACTGTAAATTTCTGCTTTGTATATTTGATGAATGGAAAAATGTATGTGATCAAGTGTACAATCCCAAACTTATATACAGAAGGAATGTTTTATGGCAACATCCTATATTGACAAGTGGCAATGTCCTATTTGCTAGGATAAAGTTGCACATAAAAGAAATACAAGGATGGAGCAAATAATTAAATACAAAGGGTATGGGGAAAATACCTAAAATATAGTGTAGCATGTGATGTACACTATTTTCTGGACAGGGCAGACCCATAAGTGGGCCGGGTGACCAGGCCTAATCGTGTAGACCACAATTAGGCCCAAATTATCAAACCCACTTAGGCCCAAATTATCAAACCCGTCCAAATACCAAACTCACTCCTCACAGTCTCAAATCAAATTGTCTGCCTCAAACCCTTCTGCCTCAAACCCTTCAACTCCAACAATGCAAGGCTGTCTGGTTATCTGCATTTCATTGAACTTTATAGATGTTTAAAATATTTGCTATTTAGTTGCCTTGTCCTGTAGATTGGTATTGCATATCGTGCTCAATTGAGTGAAGACTGGACCACTTCTTTTCTTCATGGAGGACTTGGTTGTACCGCTCACGCAGAAATTGAATTCTACTTAATGAATAGAGCACAACAACGTATACCATGATCAATTTCAAAGAAAAACTGAAAGTAGCTGGGTAGAATGATAAAATCTCCATAGGGTGATAGCTGAAGCTTCTGAGTACGAATAACCTCAATCTTTTTCCGGTGAGCATAAATCAACAATCACATGAGTATAATATATTTCAAGACAAAACAACATATTTGCCTAATATATAGTGGGAATGAACATAAGACACATCATACTAAACTCTTATACCGGAGAAAACTTGTCAAGTTAAAATTGAACAAAGAATTTGTCATGACTCAAAAATCTCACCTTAGGTACTCGTGATGGCACGTAGTCTCTAAAACTAGGTAAGCCCAATACACATTGAGAATTTAGCAGAAATAACAATCGAGATATTAAATTAAACTGATAGATCTCATAATAAAGCCAAAATGGAACAATTGTCATATATTTTTCCAAAATCGATGCTACAGATTCATAAGCACTACTTAATTATACTAAAAATCTCTAATACAATACTGTTCGGAAACAAGGAAAAATCAGTAGCATAAGATCACTAGAATGTGACTTTGAGGCCTGCGAGCGTCAAGAAGGTATATCTTCAAGTCTCTGAAGCATTTGAATCAACCCACTGGCGTTTGACATGGGTTGAAGTACTTGGATCTGCATAAAAATATGTAGAAGCATTCACCACAATGGTACCCTTTAAGTATCAAGTCTAACTTCAGTACAGTACCGACGAGGCCAAAACACTTACTAGACATAAAAACCTGTGCATAATATTAATATATCTAACAATGGGGAAGTACATGACAATAAAGCTATTATCAATAGAAGGCAAATAATGGAAATAAAAGCAATAAATGACAACAAAAAGTATATGTATGATATAGACAACAACTAATCAATTACAATCAAAACACGAATGGAATAAAGTAAGGAAACAAAACAATAACTATTCAAATCATCAACCGTTTCCAACATAGAATATATAACAAGAATCATACCGAGGTACGACACCTCATATTTGCATTTCATAATTCATGATCACATTTTTCCTTATATCGCCGTGTGAGCCTTGCATATATTTTTAAAAATATTTTCGCGAAATAGCTTCAAGAGCTTTAGCCACATTATCTCGACGCGTGGCGTCGAGTAATTCTCTTATACATCAATACATCACTCTTATACCGCGACATGTGCATCAATATCACAACACAATAATTGACTCACGCCACACGTGCATATATACCATAATATTGCCAAAATTAATAATACCAATGTCACCATAACACATAACCCACTGCTCAATCACAATGTGCACAATAATCTCAATAACAACAAAATGAACGGGAAATAGCTCAACAAGGAAAGCTATTCCAAAAATCAACAACTTTAACCACAAAACATGTTAATATTCCTCAATAGACACAACTTCAATAAACTCAATAATGAAGGCATTCCTTGAAATGGAAACTTCAATTTCAAATGCATAAAATAAGCTCAACAATAAAAGAGACATCATTAAATGGAAACTTCAATTTCAAATGCATAACATAGCTACACAATAAAAGAGATAGCATGACATAGAAATCAGGACTAAATGCATAAGAATAACTCAACAATAGAAAGGATAGCATGTAATAACAACTACTAGTAAATGCATATAAGAGTAAACGCAATAATGAAAATTAGAATATGTGATAATAACTTCAATTAAAGCATGTAAGAATAAACTTGAAAACAAAAGAGAGAACAAATTATAACAACTTCAATTAAATGGTTATAAGTAACCTAAGCATCTAAACCGGTCAATTTTCACATATATGCCCGTGTACACACTCGTCAACTCATGTACATATCTTTCACATAATTCAGATAGTACAATTACTCTCAATCCTAAGGGGTAATTTCTCCCACAAAAGGTACGCATGATATTTACCTTAACTAGGCCAAATCAACACTCGACAATATCTTTTCCCTTAAAATTTGCCTGTGTATGGCTTAAATCTAACAAAAAATGACTTAATATTACCAAACAATGCAAGAAAAATCAATTTCGATTAATAAAGCTAAGATATTTACACAACTTCCAAATGTCAACAAAAGTAAAACCCGGGCCCGCCCGGTCAAAACTCGAGTCCAAGAGTAGATCTCGACTAACCATAATCCCACGAGTCGATATTTTTATTTTGTTTTCATATCCGAGTCCAATTCGACTCTCAAATCTCAAGTTTTAATTTTTCAAAACATAGAAAAAAATTCCCCAAATTTTCTCTTAGAAATTCATGAATTTTAAGTTAAATCTATAAATTATCATGCAATAAAAGTCAAAATTGATCAAAATCAATTACTCAATAGTTGTAAAAGAAAATCCTTCCTCAAAATTGCCTCCTACTGAGTTTAGGGTTCTAAAATATAAAAATGAGACCAAGCCCCATTTTTCTAGCCTTTATATTCAGGTGCAGAAGTCACAATTGTGAACCCTCAAAAATGCTGTCAATTACTCACAATGCGGCACTTGACAGCCATGGAAATATCGCAAATGCGACACTGACTTCGCAAATGAGAAGTCAGTCCCTTTTGCAAATGCGACCAAATGGTCTAAAATGCGACCTTACCTATCCCAAGCCTATCTTCGCAAATGTGATCAAGGTGCCGCAAATGCGATACCTAAGCCCCCTAGTATGATCGCAATTATAATGATGGTTCTTGCAATTGCGATAACTGGAGCACCAGCACACCAGCAATGTGGAAAGAGTTCAAACCAATCTAAAACACATCCAAAACTCACCCGAGCCCTTGGGGCTCCGCACCAAATATCCACACAAGTCTAAAAATATCATACAAACTCGCTTGCATGATCAAAAACCAAAGTAACATCCAAAACCACAAATTAGACATCAAAACACATGAAATTCAAAAGGAAACTCAAGAATCTCTAGAATAACAATCAAGTGTCTGATTCCTATCAAACCAACTCTGAATTATACCTTTTGGAGATAAGTTCCAAATAGCAAAACGGATATGTTCTAAGTCCCAAAACCACAATCTGAACTCGATAGCCATAAAGTTAACTTACAGTCAAACCTAATGAAATGTCTAAACCTCAATTGCAAACTTTCAGCAAAACAAGTTAAATCAACAAAGGAACCTCAAAATTCAATTTCGGGCATGCGCCTAAGTCCAAAATCATAATACGAACCTATCGTAGCCATCAAAATACCGTTCTAGGATCGTTTTCACAAAAGCCAAACCTAGCTCAAAATTTCTAACTTAAGCTTCTAAATCAAGAACCAAGGGGTCCAAAACATCTCCAAAAAGAAACTAACGTTTCCCACAAGTCATAAAACTACAAATATACATATGCGAAGCTTCAAAAGTGAAAATGGGGCTCAAATACACAAAATGACCGATCAGGTCATTACATTCTCCCACTCTTAAAATAAATGTTCTTTCTCGAACGTTCATAAAGAAATACGTGAAGTGCCAAAAAGGCAAGGATAATGACTTTGTATGTCGTGCTCGGTCTCCCAGGTCGCCTCCTCTACTGGTTGACCTCTCTATTGAATCTTCCTTAAAGCAATGTTGTTTGACCTCAATTTTTGAACCTGCCTGTCCAAGATAGCCACCAGCTCCTCAACATAAGTCAAATCCTTGTCCAATTGGACTAAGCTAAAATCTAATACATATGACAGATCACCATAATACTTCTGGAGCATGGAAAAATGGAATACTGGGGAAACTCCCGATAAGCTGGGTGGAAATTCAAGTGTATAGGCCACCTTACTAACCCTCTCAATGTCTCAAAAGGACCAATATACACCGGGCTCAACTTTCCTTTTTTCCCGTACCTCATCACACCCTTCATAGGTGAAACTCTGAGCACAACTCTTTGTCCCTCGATGAATGCTACATCAAGAGCCTTCCAATTAGCATAACTCTTCTGCCTAGACTTTGTTGTATGAAGTCGATCCTAAATCAACTTGACTTTATCCAAGGCATCCCAAACTAAATTAGTGCCCAACAACCCAGCCTCCTCCAGCTCAAACCAACCAACTAAAGAACGACACCACCTCCTATATAAGGCCTTACAAGGAGCTATCTAAATACTCGATTGGTACCTATTATTGTAAGAGAACTCTGCACGCGGTAGGAATTGACCCCATGAAGTCCCGAAATCCATAACACAAGAACATAGCATATCCTCCAAGATCTGAATGGTGCACTTGGCCTGCCCATCTGTCTAAGGATGAAATGTCATGCCCAGCTCGACCTGT